CGACTTCAATTGCTTTGTCGATTTCTTCACCATGACGTCTAAGTCGCTGTTTTACTAGCTTTCTGAGGGGGTCGACGTTACGTTTATGTTCCATAATAGCGGGGTCGATCCTTGTCAACTCCTCAGGGGTGAAGGCGAAAACATCCCTGAACTCCGTTAGTAGTGTGATCAGTTGGTTTCGTAGCTCGACTTTCAGATCTTTCCCGATCTTAGTGGTTTGTTCCTTTGTTTCTCCGATTTGTATTTCCATTAGCTCCCCCTGTGGTTCAAGATCACCATTCCTTGGCCTTTTCTCGCTCATCATTGGCTTCTTTCCCTCCTTAACTTCGGCCCGTTGGTTGGTTTTTACAGCGATTTGATAACAAGTCCTCGACAGCTTTTGATCGCCTCGAGCTTCTCCAACTTGGTCTCCGACTGGGAACTTTAGCTTCATATGGTAGGTCGATACTACCGCCCAGAATGCGTTAAGTGCTGGCCTCCCCAGGATCACATTGTAAGCTGACTCGACATCAACCACCACGAATCTCACCATTTTTACCTTCCGCAAGTCACCTTCCCCTAGAACGACAGCGAGCATGGTTTCACCTAGGGGCACGACCTCTGACCCGTTGAAACCGAATAGTGAGGTATGGAGGGGTGTGAGCTGTATGTCGAGTTCCATCCTTTTGAGACAATCGTAAAAAATCACATTTACAGAACTCCCAGTGTCGACAAACACTCTCTGCACTTCATATCCCGATATTTGGGTCGTTATCATCAATGCGTCATTTTGAGACCTCTCAACTTCTCCCGCATCTGCTGGACCGAAGTTTATTACCGGTCCATTCTCATCGACTTGTTGTATCTCGACTTTCCCATGGCGCCCTCGGGCATACGCCTTCCTTGCTCGATTCGAATCCCCATCAGTTGATCCTCCAATTATCATATGTATGGTTCCCCTTTTCTGTGGGAGCTCCTCTTTCTCCGGCGTTCTCGCCCTCTTGCGAGGGCTCCTGCTCCTTTCCCTCCTTTTGTTCGACTTTTCTCGATCCTTATATATGAATTCCTTCAAGTGTCCTACCTTAATCAGTCTTTCGATTTCGTCTTTAAGGTGCCTGCAGTCGTCAGTATTGTGACCATAGTCTTTGTGGAATCGACAATATAGATTACTCTTCGGTCTCGTTGGTCCGTCCTTTCTAGTCTTGGGCCATCTGACAACATTGTCATGAATTTCTTTTTCCATCACCTCCAGAATTTGCGCTTGAGGGGCCGACAAAGGGGTGTATTGAGTCGGCCTCCAACCCCTAGGTCGCCCCTCCCTCTCTGCTCGCGGAGACCCCTTTCTCTCCCCAGCCGAGGAAATTCTATTCTCCCTTCTCTGATCCCGAGAATCAGCTCTACTTTCTTTAGCTGTTCGCGAGAAATCGATCTCCGCCTCCTCGACATTCATAGACTTTGCGCATCTCCCCAGCACTTCGTCGAACGTTCTACCCGGGCGCTTTGCCAGAGAATT